ATGAAACACCATGAACGCCACTTGGAGAGGAAGGGGTTTGGTCAGCTTACCATAGTTCATCATAAAGTCAGGACAGGAACTCACACAGGACAGGAACCTGGAGGCAGGAGCTGACTCAGAGGCCACAGGCGAGTGCTGCTTGCTCAGCCTGATTTCTTAGAGCAGCCAGGACCATCAGCCCAAGGGTGGCCTCACCCACAATGGGCTAGGTCTTCTCCCATCAGTAATTAAGGAAATGCCCTACAGCCTGATCTCATGGAGGCATTTTCTTACTTGAGGTTCCCTCCTATATGATTTCTTTAATGTGTCAAGTTGACATAAAACCAGCCAGCACAAGCATCCAATAAATGCAAATAAAAGTTAAAAAATAAACCCAAATACACCCAGATAAGATTATCCATGTGTAAGAATCCTTGAACACATTGGCACAGGGACCACTTCCTAAATATAACCCCAGCAGCACAGACCCTGAGAAAAACAATTAATAAATGGGACCTCCTGAAACTGAAAAGCAAATGACATGGTCAACAAGACAAAACGACAGCCTACAGAATGGGAAAAGATCTTCACTAACCCCACATCAGACAGAAGTCTGATCTCCAAAATATACAAAGAACTCAAGAAATTGAATACCAAAAGATCACATAATCCAATAAAAAAAAAATGGAGTACAGACCTAAACCGAGAACTCTCAACAGAGGAATCTAAAATGGCTGAAAGTCACTCAAGGAAATGTTCAATATCCTTAGTCATCAGAGAAATGCAAATCAAAACAACTCTGAGATTCCATCTTACATCTGTAAGAATGGCCAAGATCAAAAACACTGATGACAACTTATGCTGGAGAGGTTGTGGTGAAAAGGGAACACTTCTGCATTGCTGGTGGGAATGCAAGCTGGTACAGCCCCTTTGGATATCAGTGTGATGATTTCTCAGAAAATTAGGAAACAACCTTCCTCAAGACCCAATAATGCCTACCACTTTTGGGTATATATCCAAAGGATGCTCAATCGTGCCACAAGGACATGTGTTTAACCATGTTCATAGCAGCTTTGTCATAGCCAGAACCTGGAAACAACCTAAATGTCCCTCGATTGAAAAATGGATTAGAAAAATGTGGTACATTTACACAATGGAGTACTACACAGCAGAAAAAAATAACGATAGCTTGAATTTTGCAGGAAAATGGATGGAGCTAGAAAACATTATTTTGAGTGAGGTAACCCAGACACAGAAAGACAATTATCACATGTACTCATAGGTGATTTTTAAACATAAATCAAAGAAAGCCAGCCTACAAACCACAATCCCAGAGAACTTAGACAACAATGAGGACACTAAGAGAGACTTACATAGATATAACCTACATGGGAAGTAGAAAGTATAAAAAGACAAGATCTCCTGAGTAAACTGGGAGCATGGGGACCTATGGGGAGGATTGAAGTGGGGAAGAGAGAGGCAGGGAGGGGAGCAGAGAAAAATGTAGAGCTCAATAAATATCAATAAAAAAAAAAGATTATCCATGTGTAAGGATCAATGCACACCTCAGACGTGTGTCAAATCCCTGGAGCAACCCACGCAGGGGGCTGGGAACGAAGATGAGGGCTAGAGAGGTGAAAATAATACATAAAATAAGGAGACAGGCACTGTGAAAGTGCTTAGCATCACCCTTCGGGAAGTCTGACCCATGTGGTTTCGCACCAGTCCTACCGAAGGAAAGATAGGTTTCTTTACTATGTATTGGGTGCTTTGCCTGCCATGTGTGCATGTGTACCACGTCTGTGCCTGGTGGCTGCAGAGCTCAGAAGGGGGTGTTTGGTTACCTGGAACTGGAGTTATAAATGGTTGGGAGACACTACCTGGGTACTAGATTCTGAACCCAGGTCCTCTGCAAGAGCAGCCAGTGCTCGTAACAGTGGAGCCATCTCTCCAGCCCTAAAAATGCATTTCAAAGAAACCACAACTCAGGTTAGAGCCTCGGCCATCTTTAAATACTTTTGAGGTGATGCTGATGTGCCTCCAAGCCCCAGAGACAATGGCTCAGATCTATCAGAGGTAGATCTTAGCCAACCTTCTAAACTGGGGGTGGTGGTACCCACGCCTTTAATCCCAGCAGTCAGTAGGCAGAGGAGGGTGAATCTCTTAGTTAGAGGCCAGCCTGGTCTACAGAGCAAGTTCCAGAACAGCCAAGACAACACAGAGAAACCCTGTCTCAAAAAAACCTAACCAAACCAAACCAATAAACAGGCAAAAAACCCAGTCTTCTAGACAGAATTGGGCTAAGGACAGAGTAAGAAACAGGGGAGAGACTGACCTTAAATGGCAGGCAGCTTCTATATTATTATTGGGGGGGAACCCTTATCTTGTGAGTTACTGGTGCATGTGGGCGTGTGTGTGTGTGTGTGTGTGTGTGTGTGTGTGTGTGTGTGTGTGCGCGTGTGTTTGGGTTTTCCTTTGCTTTTGAGACTGGGTCTCACCATAAAGGCCAGACTGGTCTAGAACTCCTCAGGCATCAGAGGGCAGGGATTGCAAGCACACAACACCCTGCCCAGTTCTAGTCCCTTTCACTGTCATTATTGCTTTTCATATTTTGTAATATCACGGGTTCCTGTTCTTGTTAAGTTGGTCCAAATTTCTAGGGAGGATTAAGAGTTTTGAAAGAATTTAACAGCTGCTTATGATTTTAAGGGTCATACTAAATAACTGCAGGTGCTAAACTGAGCAAAAATCTACTTTAAATGGCAGCTGAAGAAGAGTCAGTGCTCCAAGGGAGGAAGGAGAGTCAGTGCTCCAAGGGAGAAGAGTCAGTGCT